CGCCCCGCCTGCCCGCACCTCCTCCCACTGGTGGATGTAGCGGATGAGGCGGGACAGGCGCAGCAGGCGCAGCAGGCTGAGGATCTTGGTGAAGCGCACGATGCGCAGCGCGCGGGCCGTCTTGTAGACCTCGGAATCGATCCCCTTCTCCACGATGAGGAAGATGTAGTCCACGGGGATGGAGGACACGAAGTCCACCACGAACCACGTGCGCAGGTACTTCTTCTTGATCTTCTCGGGGTCCAGGATGATCTCCGTGTTGTCCTCGATGACGATGCCCGTGCGGAAGTTGAGCACCAGGTCCATGAGGAAGAATGTGTCCGAGACCACGTTGAACACGATCCACGGGGCGGTGGTTTCGTCCTTGAAGAAGGTGATGCCCACGGGGATGATGATGAGGTTTCCCACCATGAAGAGCAGCATGGTGAAGTCCCAGTAGAACCTGAGGAGGCACAGCCGGCAGTCACCCCGCCTGGCGCCCCTCCAAAGTGCCCACGCCCCCTTCAGGCCCAGCCCCGGTGGCGGCCCCGCCCCCCCAACCCCCCGTTGGTGAGCCCCAGCCCAGTCCCGCCTGCTGGCCCAGCCGGCGCTGACCCTCCGTCCTTGGGGAAGCACGAGACCTCGAAGCATCCAAGAGGTCTCTCAAAAATAGATGAAACGTTTCCCATGACCAGAAACGGGCCAGAGTGCCCGGCGCAAGGTTGGTGTCCAAAAAATACCAGGGCAAACAAGGAGAGAAGAGACGAGCGGGGCGAGGGTTCGGCGGGAGGGGCGGGGCTGGGCGGACGCCACCCCAGCAGCTGAGAGGCCAGAGGAGGACGCCGGCCACGGCGCTATTTTCGGAAGCACCTTGGGGAGGGAAGGGGGGGCCGAGTGGGGGCCTGGAGGTGCAGGAATGGAGCCCGGCTGCCGCGGGCTTTACTGTGATGGATGCGCTGCCGGCGCACCGCACGCGCCCGGATGCACAGGCGTCCCCAGGGCAGCCCCGGAGGTCCAGCCGGGAAGCGCAGGCACGCCAGATCTGGTGCCACTGTGGTGCTCTGGACGCAGCGGCCCCCGGACGTCAGACACAGCGGAAGGCCACGTGCGCGGCTGCCCGGCCCCGAGGGAATCAAGAAAACCTGACTCAAGCTGCTGCGAGGGAAAACTGCGTTTCCAGAAGTTAAACAGAGCGACCGTGGGCCGGCAGCTCCCTCCTAGTGTCCACCCCCAAAACCGGGCTCAAGCACGTCCCCCCGCAGGCCAGGCGGCAGCGACGTGACTCACAGCCACAGGTGCACAGTGTAGCCTGTGGGTGAAATAATCAAACACGGCTTGTCCCCCACCCCGGCCTCGGGACATCAGTGGCCACCAGGGGCAGCGCAGACCCTCGCCGCCACGGGGAGGGGCCTGAGCAACGAGGCCCGGGCCAGAAGCCAGACAGGAGGCCACGTGGCTGAGTCCACTGACAAGAAACGCCCGGGATGGGCACAGCCACAGAGGCGGCTTCATGGTGCCGGGGCCGGGGGAGGGGACACAGGCGGCTTCTTTCTGGTGTGATGGAAGGTTCTGGAATTAGAGGTGATGGTTGCACAGTGCGATTGTACTTATGCCCTCCAAATAATCTCTTAAATGGCCAAACACTAAATGTCATTATCCACGGTGCGCACACACAGCCCCGGGTCTCCGCGACCAGCAAGTGCCCGGCGAGGAGGTCCGAGCCCGCAAACCCTGGGCAGATTCTAGCAAAACGCGGCCTCAGGTTTCGAGAGTCGTTTATGTGATGCTGCTTTCGTCACACTGCAGGGAGGCGACACCCACCCAGACCTGTCAGCCCCACCTTTCTCC